TCCCTGTTGGAGCCACCTCGTGTCTGGTCCCACGTGACACCCGTCCCCGACTGTGGGAAAACTTTTAAATTCAGATCAACTTTAAGCCGGCACCACTGAATCCACAGAGAGGAGAGACCCTTCAGGTGTGTGGAGTGTGGGAAGAGCTTTGCCGACCATTCCACATTAAGTCAACACTGTCAGCTCCACATGGCTGAGAAGCCCTACAAGTGCCTTGAGTGCGGGAAGAGCTTTGGTAGGAGCAGCCATTGGATGTGTCACCAACATGTCCACACTGGTGAAAAACCCTATGTGTGTCCCACATGCAGGAAGGAGTTTGGGAGTAGCTCAAACCTCAGCGCTCACCTGCGGGTCCACACAGGGAAACGTCCCTACACATGTCCCGACTGTGGGAAGAGATTTACATGGCGTTGTCGTCTGATCAGCCACCAACGCATCCACACAGGAGAGAAGCCCTACAAGTCTCCTGACTGTGGGAAGAGATTTGTCAGGATCTCTGTGATCATCAACCATCAACGCATCAACAGAGGTGAGAAACCCTACACGTGTCCTGACTGCGGGAAGAGCTTTGCCTGGAGCTCTGTGCTCATCAGGCATCAACGCATCCACACGGGAGAGAAGCCCTACAGGTGTCCCGACTGCGGGAAGAGCTTTTCCTGGAGCTCTGTGCTCATCAGGCATCAACGCATCCACACAGGTGAAAAACCCTACGTGTGTCCTGACTGCGGGAAGAGATTTTCCCAGAGGTCTGTGCTCATCAAACATCAACGCATCCACAGAGGTGAGAAACCCTACACGTGTCCTGACTGCAGGAAGAGCTTTGCTAGAAGGCATTATCTGATCAGCCATCAACGCATCCACACGGGAGAGAAGCCCTACAAGTGTCCTGACTGCGGGAAGAGCTTTGCCTGGAGCTCTGGGCTCACCAGGCATCAACGCATCCACACAGGTGAGAACCTCTACACGTTTCCTGACTGTGGGAAGAGCTTTGCCACAAAATCTCGTCTGATGAAGCATCAATGCATCCACATTGGATAGAAATGTGTCAAAAAATGGCAGAAGAGCAGCTGCACCTCGTGGAAACATCAACGGGTCCATATGGGTGAATGACCCTTTAGCTGCTCCCAGTGTGAGAAGGGGCTTTACCAGAGAGCAGATCTCATCCGTCATGGCCAGATGCACCTCAGGGATCACTAAGACTGAAGGGGCATGGTCAAGGTCACTGTATTTCCAAAATGAGATGAAAATAAATCTTTATCATGGTGACCTAAGTCTAGTGTCACTCTCACACACACACAGAGTTCAAAGCGTTTTGCCTTTCGTGGTGAGATGCCAATTAAGGAGCAATTTTATTTATTTTTATTTAAATAATTTTATTTATTTTAATATTTTAATATAATTTTATTTGATTAAATTACCATGGGTAAGTGCCAGGGTGGTCATTGTCC